ATCTCTATCTCTATCTCTATCTCTATCTCTATCTCTATCTCTATCTCTACAACGCATGCTTGCGGATAGGATATTTTCCCAAGGCATGGAAAGGGGCTTACGTAAAAATTCTGCTAAAACCGAACAAAGAAGCTGGTGACCTGGAAAACTCTTGGAAAAGCTGTTTATTGGGCGCCTATCGTATCACGCTGAGCGCAACCATTTATGGTCATCTAAGCAATATGGTTTTAAGCAGCAAACGTCAACCACTGATGCACTTTACAACGCTGTCGAAAATATCAAAGATAAAAAACGTAAGAAATATCAGGTAGTCTGCGTATCTCTAGACATAAAAGTCGCCTTCACCAACGCCTGGTGGCCAATGCTGCTAACTCAGCTTGCACGTTACCAGATGCCCTCAAATATCTACAACCTCATACGAAGCTACCTCCAAGATCGCATGGTTATACTAGAATATGCAGAATCTACAGCACAAAAAGGGTATGTCGAAGTGCTGAATCCAAGGGTCTGTATGTGGTCCCATTTTCTGGAACATAATTCTGGACGACTTACTGTCTATGTCACTTCCGCATGGATGTGAAATTCAAGCATTTGCCGACGACGTATTACTAACCGTCAGCGCAAAAACTCTTGCAGAGCTTGAGTGCATGACAAACGCCTGTTTGAGTCAAATACATCAGTGGGGTTTTGATGCTAAGCTAACATTCGGGGAAGCTAAAACCCAAGCAATTGCATTCACACAAAAAGCTAGATTAGCGAGCTTGTGTATAAAAGGTATTTCTATACCTATTGTAAAATCCATAAAACTTCTAGGAGTAGTAATAAATGAATATCTAATGTTTACAAACCATGTGCGGTATGCTATCGCTAAGACGTAACGTATATTCAAGAATCTGTGCAAATACGTTCGACCCACTTGGGGCATCCACGCTGAAAACGTGGTAGTCATATATCGACAAGTAGTGGAGCCGATGATTACATATGCCGCCGGTGTCTGGGGTAGTGCCACAAATTACTACTACATTCGTCGACTTCTTCCATCATTCCAAAGGAGTTTCGCTATAAAAGCAATACGAGCTTTTCACACAGTATCTGCTACATCGGCTTTAGCACTATCTGGTTTTGCACCACTACATCTAAAAGTAGCAGAAGCAAGCAAAATATATGAAGTGAAAAGAACAGGCTCTCTAAATACAATACCTACAGCTGTCACTTTGCATAAAAGCATCCGTCCGCATTGCTTACTACACCCAGGACAGCGACAAA